GTGACACTGTTTGGAGGTTGCTAAGTAGTTTGTTATTAAACCTAAAAAATCATAGTTCCGTTAGATTTGACTCACCTGCATCTCTTTTCTCATTAGTGTACCTCCTACCTCAACTTTGTAGTGAGGTATAAACCTGACGAGCAGCCCTCACTCGCCCCACATCATGACGCGTCCACTTTTACTATTAACATAGCTCTCAACAGCAGAGACATTGACTATCAGGTAAATGGGTGCTCAGCTCGAAGGTGAAGCTTCAGAAAAAAAGACCAAAGATGCTGTGGCAGCGCTACTGATGCAGGGGGTCTGCCTTATTTCTCTTCTTTTCTCCCCTCGCCCACCTTCTCGCAGGATGCCTGATGTTCTTGTGTCTTGATCGTGAATGCTGCATGACCTCCTTGCCTCTCTTTGTGTCTTTTCTCTTCTTGCAGGCTCAATTTGATTTGGCATTTGTAGTTAGATATAAGCCCGATGAACAGCCCTTTTTAAGGCCTCATCATGATGCATCTACATTTACTATAAATATCGCTCTCAATCAAGTCGGGATTGACTTTGAGGTGAGTGTTTCGACTGGCTGCTGTTTTGGATTTAGCAGTTTTCTTGTGCCGTCGACCTTATTGTTTGGTTCTCTTGCTGTGACCGAATGTTGATTTTAGTTGATAGCATGTACACTGTTTATCAAACATTAAGAGACAATTGTTTAATTTTTTTAATAAACTAATATATTGTCTTTGGTAGAGTGCAGGAACCACTGATTTTTTTTTTTTTACAGTGGAGGTGATGGGAACCAGGGGTCTATAATGCAAAAGTAGCTGTTTTATTTACTCTTCAAAACAACCAGTGAACCTACTAGTCTTCTGGATTTTTTGTACCATTTTGATATCTGTAATATAGCAGTAAAATGGGATTTTTTTTGTGCCGTTACAACACCCTGCCACCCTGCTTGTACGTCTCTGACATTAATATTATTTAAAAAATGTGTTTTAGGCCAATACCATGTCTCAAGCATCAGGCAGTGAATGCATAACCATTTTGTGTACTAACTTTATGTGAGGTAGCTTTTATGAGGCACTAAGCTCTTAAGATGTGTGGTTCCCATCACCACCCCTGTGAACAAGTCTGACTGTTTTCACATCACGCCATTCTGAATGACTTTGTTTACATCTTAACCATTTAATTATGCAGGAATTTTGAAATACTGGTGGAGATCCCCTAATATAATTTTTAAAATGCTAAAGAATTATAAAAAAAATTGCATATTGCATCCTTAGAAAAGCCTGTGTTGTGATGATGATTAGCAAGCAATATATTATGCAGCCTTAATGTGTAGTGTAAGACAATAAACCTGATGAAAATGCAGGATGCTTGTAGTACGTTTTAATGAAGAAGCTATAACAAAAAAACAAACAGAACATCGATGTATATTGATAGAATGAGTCCACCTTGTAGATTAGTGTAACTGCTGAGCAAACACTTCATCCAGCAATGCTGCATGTTTAGGCTCGTGACTGGCCTTGGCAGCTTAAAAAAAATTTAACACTTTGTTCTGTGCTGGTGGCGTCATACGTATTTTCTCTGCTTCTTCATTTAGGGTTTAACAAGTACTTCTTGGCACATAGACTTACAATGGCTTCCATATGAAACATACATTTCTGTTTTTTGCATTGCTTCCATCTCTTCCTTTCCATGTTTGTAGGTTAAAACCTGTGTGGCTTGTAACTTACTGCTTTGAACATGTTCTGTCAATTAGTTAAGCATCCTGCATCAGTGAAACACAGAAATCACCTGGTTTGCTTTATAACTAGTGGTTTAAATGCTTAAATGCACAAATCACTACAAAGTTGGACCAGCTCATTATCAATACGAATTGTATGGCGGATAATGTTTGTTGCTGCAGGTTTTCATTGCAAAAAAACAGGAGCACACCTGATCAGTTGTTTAAAGACTGAGACTGATTTAACTGTTTAATCAAGTGAAATCAGGTGTGCTCTTCTTGGCTGGAATGAAAACCTGCACCCACACCAGCCCTTTGCACATTTGATGGATGCACAATTACTGCTTATTCACTCAGTTTAACATATTGGGAAAATGAAACACAAACTTTGACCAGGGAAACATTTTTGCACCATATAATTTGTTTGCCAGTTCAAGTATGAAACATATTTGTGTTTATAATGAACTAGTCCAAATTTATTTGTAAAAATTTGTGGGTATATATATATATATTGTATTGTATTGTATTTTATTTTCAAAATCTACACCTCTGAATGGCTATATACATTAATTTTGAAACAGGCATGCTTGCTTTAGGCAATACTGATACATCTGCATGTTGCCAATATATTGCTGGCTGGGGCTCTAATAAATATGGCCAGCCTGGGAAATGAGTGGACAGTCACAGCATAATGTTAAGCAGCTCTCGATTGATCAGTGCTTTTATGTCATTAATGTATGGTTTGTCAGCGAAGCTAAGAAACTAATTCTCATGCCTTCTCATCCGTTCTCCTGTTCAGGGCGGCGGCTGCCGATTTCTCAGGTACAACTGTTCCGTACGGGCCCCCAGGAAAGGCTGGGCTCTCATGCACCCAGGTCGTTTAACACACTACCACGAGGGCCTCCCCACCACAGCAGGCATCAGATACATCGCTGTCTCATTTGTGGACCCTTGAGTTGATCTCAAAAGGAGCTCCTTTACTTTAGTTAAAAAATACACGAAGGTTAGTATCTAATATGAGTGTTAAAGGAGGACCAGAGAGACAATCACTTTGACTTTATGTTGAAAATCACTGAAAGATTTGATAGAGTCTGTGCCTTACATTTCCATTATGTTTTAATGTTACAAACAAAACTGTAATTAGACGGCCATCTGTTGAACTCAGGCGTACTTTGAGAGCAGTTGAGGCAGATGCAGTGTGTACCTCCTTTTGAAAGAAATTCTGTTGTTTTTTATTTATTGATCCAGTTCCAAAGCAGTCATGCCAAAGTTTTTATATAGATATCAGTTATATGAACCGTTGCTTGGTCCTTGGCCACTGTTTTTTTTGTGTGATTTAGTCATGGATAACCGGATCATACATCAGGCTACTGTTGCTACTGTTCAGAAATGGGCTGATGTGTATTTTGGTCTTCAGTGCTCTCTTAAGTCATCCGTGGCATTTGTTTTTATTTTATAGTTTTGTGTTTATCTTATGGTTTTTGTCAATAAACGTTACTGTTTTGAGTACTTGGGGCTTTTTGTTGTCAATTTTTATATATGAAAATTTTCAAGATGATTTAAAACTGATATTTTTCACTTTGAGATGTACTAGATCATAATAGGAGAGTTAGCATTTTTTGTAGAGATCTTGAAGAAGCCTATAGTCTATTTAGGTCTGTTTCAGTTTCCTAAACAGATAGACATACTGTAGATGTTACTAGTAATTTAGGGGTTAATGAAAATGATGAGCTTGGGAAATTATATCCAATTAAGCACATTTTGATGTAACCGACTCTCACCTTTAAACAACGTAAGAGGAGAGCAATTGGTTAACTCGGTTTTGAAGCTCAATTCTGTCTCTTAATTTAACTCAGTAGGTGAAAATAGATTTATACAAGCCTCATGAATAAACAGTTTTTATGACATCTTAGGAATATGTTTTATTTCATACTGTGCAGGTAATCGCATTCTTCTCATTTCAGAATAGGCAATCCTCCCAAAGGAGTTCAGTTGGTTATCTGCAATTATTCACATTTGAATTATACTTTTATCTACCAGATCCACTAAATAGGGTGTGATTGACAAAAAATATTTAAAGTGATAACGGTGGTTATGATCTAATACTGGCATCCTATCTTGCCTGCAGTGTGACCAGGAACTGCTGAATGAAGGGTTTGAGGCAGCCCTATGCCCAGTATAGGAGAATCATATCTTTTTGAGACAAGCAGAGACAAATATCTGCACCATATCTACTCACATTTCTCTACGAGAGGCAGGATTCTGAGCCAAACTCATTGGATGAGAGATTCTACAGCCGTGGTTCTCTGTGTAGCCATGCAATTTCAAGAGAATCAGCAGGAGCCATTTATGGTGTGATCTGTTTTTACCACTAGGTGGCACATTTACACTAAATGAAATTCAGTTTCAGCTGATGCTTATATGAGTGTTTTGGAAAGTAAAGTGCAGTCCGTGCAGTCCTGGAATAGTTCCTTCCCTTCATTTTAAAGACATCCATCAGTAAAGGAAAACCATATAACCTGATTTCTCATTGAATGCCTCATGAGTCATGTGTGTACCACTTACCAGGCAAAATATTTGCTCTGTAAGGAAGAATAGAACTAAAGTACACCGAAGTACAGCTTTAATGACAAACACAGTCTTGCGGGTCTTCACTAGTGCTGCCCTTCAGGTATGGTCACTGGCCGGGGGGTCACTGAGCTCATTTCTGTGACCACCACAGAATGCAGGCTCAGTGAAAGGAATAGTGAGGAAGGTGTGATTTCCTCTTGAGTTTGGCATTCAAACTAATGTAAATATCATCACCTTAGGGGGCTGACAGGACAAAAGTCAAGAGTCTGGCTTGTGGGTAAAAACTGAGACACAGATAAAGAAGGTTTGGTAAGGGCATGAAAGCAAATTAACACAATCACAATTGAATACAATTAGATGAGGCTACAGATTCTAGAGATCTCATATAACATGATATGAACATCATAAGTAATGATGGAAAGTTACTTTTAGTGGACATCTGAGAGCAGATTTTAATGACTGCCACCTGTTTGACAATACATCTCTTCCTCATTACGCATTGGAAATAGACTTATGATCTTTTTTGGGGGGGGGCAGAGATGGAAAACTTTGGATTGGTAATTTACTGTCTATGAGGGAAGATTCAGATCTGTTGTTTAATTCTACACATACACATCCATCTGTGTTTGTATAGCAATCCATGTTTTTGCACTCTCTTAAATAATAAAAAAATAGGACAAGGGTGTAGGGAACAAGTGAACTTAGTGAAGGGAGGGAAACTTAGTGGGACGCCGCCGCCTCTCATCAGCGCTGTGGCGGTATCCGATGATGTACGGTTAATGCATTGTGCAGGTACAGCAGCCAATGCTCGCCGTCGGGTAATTTGAGAGTTTTAGCTCTGTGTAAACGGTACGACTTTCTGAGATCGCTTATACAGCTCATTAAGGTGCACTGAATTAACTATAACGTTAGCTGCTCCCTGAACATTTCTTGGCACACTGAGTGGACCAAGTCGGGCTAGCTAGCTTGCTAAGCTACTTTCACTTTTCACTCTTGCAAGCACAAAAAGCAGCTCGCAGGATTTCGCTTCCTTTCAGAAGCGCAGCTAAGACTGTTGCTCGAAGAACCTTTGGAGGAACAAAATTATTTATTTTTTTTGGAGAACACAGGACCAACATGCTTGAGGACTTCTTATAACCTCCCGCCCTTCTTGGTAAGTTGCGAAGGAGCTAGCTGGCTAGCTAACTAACTTTATTCGTACTAATTAGATCTGTATGTGGCAGAGGCTTTATAGTAGGTGCCCGTAACGTACCGCCCGTTAATTTGCTGGCTGTTATCCGTAGAGATCACTTTAACTACGTTAGTTAAATCAGGCACACACGTGTGACTAAGTACATTAGCGTTCCTGTCAAACCTCCATTAACATTAGCTGACTGGCTAAGATATAGGCTAGCTAGCGCAGTTGTTAAAGAGCGTTAGCATCGGGTAACGTTAGCTATTGCAGTTGTTATGCGTGTTAACGAAATATTTATGAATATTATTTAATAACATAATGAGACTTTCCTAAGTAGCTTGTGGTTTGGCTGCCTAGCTGGTTGGCTATGTTCACTTTCTCAAGTGACAGTAATGCTACCAAGGCCGTTTGCACACTAGCTAACTTACATTAGCTAGCAGTTCACGGCAGGACTCTTCTTATCTGAGTTACATAATCTGGATCTGCCCGAGTTCAGGTCACTACTGGCTCCCTACGTTGCCGCTTAGGTAACTTTACTGATGCTCAGATAAATGCGTATCTGTCCAGTGGGCAGAGTGTGTTTAGCTAGAACCAGCAGCATCATCTGTGGAGGTGTGACCCTCACAAGTTTGTGTTTGTAGGGGTGGAAATCACTGTTTCATGAGCGACACGAGGAGGTGAATTCACACCCCCTAGCCCTCAGCAACGGAATTAGAGGGCATGTGCCGTCGGAGTCGGATTAGTTCTCCAGAAAAGGGCCTTGAGTCTGGGTGGTGAGTGGAGTTGGTGTGTGCTGGTTCTGGAGCCTAAACGGCGTGACATTGACATCGTCCTCTTCTTTCGCTGAAGCACACAACACGGGTTTAGACCGTGACTTAGCTTGCTAGCTGCTACACTAGCCGGAGGTCGTTCTCGCCGTCATGTCTCTTTCAGTTTGAGGGTTGTTTGGCCGAAGCGCGCCGGTCTGCTCAGGGAACTAGGTGAACGGTCACGGCAAGACGACTGAACTGGAAGTAGCGATCTGTTCGCTACAGGACACATTATTGTACCTCAAGGTTGTGCATGTACTGAAAGGTAAGACATGTCTAGCTGATCTAGCTTGTATTTACTGCTGTCTGACTTTTTACTCGCCGTGTTTTCCGTGCTTTTCCGTTGTTGTTTCGTTTTAGTGAGGGATCCGACGCGTGTTCGATACATGTTTACATTTTAGCGACCTTAGCTAACTTAAAGGGATATTCCACCAATTTTTCAAAATGTCTTTATAATTCAGTCCTTGAGATGTTAAGCCATACACAGTGGTTTGATGTAAATTTGGTTCGTCGTAGACAAGCTTGCATAGTCTGGTTTCTTAACAGTGAAGCTGCACGTGCCCTCTGAATATTTTATATGTAATTTTAATAATGGTAACATAATGAAAGAAAAAGTCTTTGGGGACTGTTTTGCCTTACAACACCCTGCATGTACCCCTCTGCCATAAATGGATTAAAATACACTTTAAACCAAAACGTTAACACAAAACTATCAGAAACAATGTGTCAGACACCAGGCAGCATATATCTAAACATTTCATGTTACAGCATTCTGTGAGGGAGCTTTTAGAGGTATTAAACTCCCTCAGACACCTGGTTCCTATCACCACCACTGTGAACAATTCTGACTAGTCAAGTTTCTCATTTCACATTTCACATCCAATCACTCTGAATGACTTTGTTTACATCTCAACTATTTCATTAAGTAGATTTTTTGAAAAATTGGTTGAGTTCCCCTTTAACTGGCTGGATTTTTCCATGCCTTTCTAATCAACAGTACCTTTCAACATGACTTCTGTTCTTTCCTTCGCACATTCTGATAAATAGTTAAAGTCAGTTCAGGTAATATTTGTAAGTATCACTAACAGTCATGATTGCGAAATGAGGCCACTATACGTCTTGCGTGTAGACAAAATGCACTTTATTTCTGTCATAGACTTTTGAAGATGGCCCTCTTAGGCACAACAGTGTTAAAAAATGTAGTATGTTTAAGTCTTCTCTGGCTTTTTTGGGAGCTGTCTTTGAAACAGGCCTATTTTAGAGTTAGCATACAATGAATAGGTTGAAAGCAACGCAAAAAATGTCACGTTTACCCTGTCAGAGCTCGTCTGTGATCATAATGTTGACAGACTGCATGGTTCAGGATGAAAGTGGAGTGCTAGCCTGCTTCTTTATCTCTGAGCTGCACCCAGGGGTTGGGCTGTTTTACCAATTTGGGCTGATAAACAGTGTCCTCTGTTCACATGCCTCACACATGGTGCATGGTTTGTCTGCATTTCTGGTTCAGCTTCTGAATCCCAATCACCTTTCTCAGCGTGCTGGTGTCCCGCTGCCTTCTAAAGTTGTCTGTCCTGAGATTGTGCACTGAAGGTGACTTTCTATGGCAGGTGGTCTTTGCAGTGTGTGTCTGGCAATCTCATGCCCACGCACACTTCAGTTTCACCTCTTAAAGTGCCTCTTGCACGTTCTCAATGGACTCTGTCAGCACTGCTATGTTACATGGCCAGCAGTAAATATTGACATTTTCAATGTGAGGACAAACATGGTTCGTTATGTACATTCATGTTTGTATATGCAGAGTTTGAGCAAAGCACTGCAGATAGGCAGGAGCCACATATATGCAAAGAGCTGTACAACGCAGTATATTCCAAAGAGGAATTCCTTCAGTTTTTCAGAATTCATCACTCAGATGTAAGCAAAGTCATTCAAAGTGTTTTGATGTGAAATGGCTCATTGTGGAGAAGCTTACTAACATTTCTTTATAATGGTGGTGAAAGGTACCAGGTGATGCAGTGTTTGTTTACTATCTAAAATGACCAGTGAACCTGCGTGTTTGCAAACTGTTATGCCTTACAACGCCTTGCATGTACTTTTTCACCGTGTGTGTATAAATAAAATATAACTCAATATATATTTATTTATTTATGTATGTATGTATGTAAGTAACCATTTCATGTAATAATTGTGAGGTGGCTTTTAGAAGCATTCAACTCTTTAGTGAACAATTCTCTGTAAGTTTCTCAAGAATGTTGCATATCAAACCACCCTGAATTGCTTTGTTTACATCCCAGTGATGTAATTATGTAGAAAGTCGATGGTGCAAATTCCCTTCAAACTTGCACTGAATGTCATGTATGTGCGAACATTTCAAATCAGTCATGATTTGAATACTTTAGAAATGTACTGTTTCTGTAGACCTCGTCATTTAGTCAGTTTGAGATAATCTACCATTGTGTTATCTATTTTAGGGAATTTGATTGATTTTTGCTTTCAGCATCAATTTATTGATTTCTTAACATTTTTGGCTTTTAAAGCAACGTTCAATGCAGCCACAGCATTACAGCTTAATCTTCCAACTTTCCCATTCCCCCCAAAAAAACAACAGCAACAAAAAAAACAAAAACAAAGCCCATCTGGAAATTTGCTCTTTCAACATGAACAATCAGAAGGGCTTTGAGTGTGAATTGTTTCCGCTGTTTTGAAAGAAGCAGCATTTCACACAATCAGTGCTCAGCTCTATAGAAACTAGCGCTGAGATATATATCCTTTATGTGGATATTGATGTCACACAAAAATGTTCATTTCTAGTTTTGCCAATATGGATAGATAATTAAAATGTCAAATGCAGTATATGCCTTTTGCTGTGTCATTCATATAGTTTTGAAAGGACATTTACCAAATAAAATGTACGTTTCCTCACTGAAAGTGTGGTTTCCAGTTAACAGTAGATTGTAGAGATCCCTTTGCTATAATTTTAAGAGAATAAAACAATCCAGTCAAAACAAGCTATGCAGGTCTGTACGGCATTCTTTCAGCTGAGAGCTTCATTAACTTTATTAATGCAAACTCAATTATCATCAAATACTATAGTATATTTGAGAAAATTATTTGAATAATTGGTAGATTCCATCCAGCATAAATACAAACTCACATTATGCTGCAAACATGAATATATGTCCTGCATGGAAGTCTTAATGACTTAGTGACCACCCTGCTGTGTGGTTAGTCGTGTATTGAAGGCAGTTGTCAGTTCCTTAAATGCTATTATGGGTATATATTAAATGTTTTAAATAGTCAGAAAGATGTGAGTGGTAGTAGGCTACATAGTAGATTATACTCCAGCCTGTACTCAAAATATCCCAAGAGTGGGAAGTTCTTGGTTGGTAACCAGCCCTTCATGTCATTTTGTATTGCTCTTGTTTAGAACATGAAATGCAAATTTGTTGTTTTTGAAAAGCTACATCTGTGAAAAGTTAGGCCTGGCTTCTGCTGAGATAAAACGTATTTGCATGTAATGCTAGACCAGATAGCTTCTTTGGACATTGTGTAAAATACTGTTCAGTGTTTGAGAAGACTTTTTGTTGGACATTTAATGTAGTGTTTCTGCTTTTCAAAAAATGTGTTTATTAATATACATTGATATTATTGGTATTGATAAAATGTAAACCAAGACAGTTTCATTGGAGCCTTTGTTTCTTCGTCCAGGGGAGGTTTCAGATACTCACAATGTATTTACTACTCTTTTGATTTTTCCCTTTTGGTTCCAGTGCAATGTCTCTGGTTTTCTCGCGACCCAACACCAGTGCGATTGGCAAAAAGGACAAACGACTCATGGCCGAGGTGAATGCCTCCCCACTCAAGCACTTTGTCACCGCCAAGAAGAAAATCAACGGCATCTTTGAGCAGCTTGGCGCGTACATCAAAGAAAGCTCGGCCTTTCTAGACGGTAAGTGCTCGAGACCTGCTGTAACTTTAACTGAACACATTTTCTCACAATGTTAGAAACCTTTCAGGATGGGAAAAGTGGCCTGGGATCAGCTTCTGCCTAATACATTCTAAGGAATACAACTGTATGAGGGCTGCCAATTTGATACTAGATCAGCCCCAGGGCTGTACACTATACCAGTACATTATTGATATTGTAATTATAATATTTACTTGTACAATATAGATACTGCAGAAGGCTGCAATATGCAAATGAGCATCTAATCAATGTGCTGTGAGTTCCAGATGAGTGTTTCTTTAAATTATTTTGTTTAGATTAATGCAGGCCAATCTTTAACTATGTTTCGTTATTGATTTAATGATTGTGTTTTAATACATTCCGAAGTATATTGCAGTATTCAACAATATAGTCACAGTACTAGTGTTTTGTCTATATCTTGCAGCCTTAATTAGCACTCTTGTTCTGAAGTACTGGTAAATATGTGTTCCCACTGTTATTATCCTGGATGCCAAATCAGGTTAACATTCCCATGGCTGTAAGCCTGCTGAAGGAAGGTTAACTTAGTCTGACAGAAAAGAAGTTATGTAACTGACAGCCAGTGTTCGTCTCCCTAAGGAAACAAGCATTGACAAAGACCAGCTTAGTCAGCGCCGTGTCTGAGCTGGAGCAGGAATCCTTGGGCGGATGAAGAATAAGTGATGAAGTTGCTATTCCATGTTTCTTTAATTTCAGTCAATAATATGTTAATGATGGTTTTGTTCCTTTAATCAATACAATCTGTGGTGAAAAATCAGTACACAGTGGTTACAAATGCCTGGCAGATTTAAATTGCTGCAAAAAACAAAAACAAACAAACAAAAAAAGACGAGGCTTCCAGCAATCAGCAATTACTTAACTAAACTACACTCTACTCTGTGTTAACTTAAGACTTATCTTTTCTTCCTCAGTGAACTTTATGCCACCTGTTGTCAGTTGATACTCATCCTAAATGCGGTGGGATGTGTTGTATTTCTGTGACAGAGACCTACAGTAATGAGGAACTGGATCCAGTCACTACAGAGGAACAGGTGGCAGAGGTGCGGGGTTACCTCTCCAAGGTGGCAGGGATCGGTGAGGTCCTGTCCCGCAGACACATGAAAGTGGTCTTTTTTGGCAGGTATGTGATCACATTCATTTGATACCAAAAAATATTTCTGCAGTGTGAGTGCTTTAAAGCTTTTATTTAACATTATTAACTGGGTTTGGACACACAATCTGAAACACATTACAGCATAAGGAGTGGCGGGAGAAGCATTTATGGGTTTATGGGTTTGGTTAGGGTGTGTTGTCTCAAATATTGCATAATGTTGCAAGGCCCATGTCTACACATGCTGTTTGTTGCACATCTAAAGCAAGTTGTTTAAATGGCCCATCCTAACTCCGTACAAGAAAGCACAGGTTCTGACATTTTGATTGTTATCTAAGGATGTAACAGTAGTGTCTCGATTCAATACAGCTAAAATGGTGTCTGAAAATGTGGCTTACATTATGTTAGTGTTTGCATTTTCTGTTTATTACAGCATTCAACATTAAAGTACAATATTTGAAACACAATAGCTACAAGCTAACATACTAGTCGCAATACAATGATATGTGTTGCAATACACTTTGATATTTTATACAATACAATACAGTATTGTTACATCCTAAGGTTTGTGTAGTCAGTCTGTAACAATGGTTGTATTGTTTTGTTAAAGACTGGATTGTAAAGTCTTACCTGTACAAGCTTTTATCCAGTTTATATATATATATATATATATATATATATATATATATATATATATATATATATATATATATATATAATTTTTATTTATTTATTTATTTATATTTATTTATTTATATTTATCTATTTTTTTAAATCTCTGAAATTTTGCTGATGCCTCTGTTTGTTTCATGTATGTGAACCCCAGTGAACTTCTTGTGTCCACAGGACCAGCAATGGCAAAAGCTCTGTCATCAATGCCATGCTGTGGGACAAAGTCTTGCCATCGGGCATCGGCCACACCACTAACTGCTTCCTGCGTGTAGAAGGTACTGACGGCAATGAGGCATTCCTGCTTACAGAGGGATCAGAGGAAAGAAAGAGTGTTAAAGTGAGTAATGTTTATTTTCTTTGGCATTCAGTGGTATTTGTGAAACACAAACATTAGTCCACCGTGTGAAACAGTGCTGGTACACCAAGGTCATGATTTTGAATCAGTTAGATGTAAATGAGTTGATCCATGTGTCATAGATTGCTTGGTTGTATTTTGATGTAAAAGCTGCTGTGAAATGAGTAGGTGTTCATACTGCTAGTTTTAGCCTAATCATGCTATGAAAAGCTCCTAAATGCCTTAACAGCTTAAAAGTCTGAAGTGTGCACAGTCAATCCATGGCAGGCAAGCATTGGTTAATGTGTCAGTCTGCAGCATTCCAGTGTTCAAAATGATTGCTCCCTTGACAAACAAAAATGAGTTAAAAGAAGAGTTAGCTTGTAAATACGTGCTGCAATATGGTGGTGTTTGTGCTCAAAGTTTGTGTTCTTTGCTCGCACGAGTCACACATGAGTTCTTATTTAGGCTGTACAAACCAACTAGAAAAGGTCCAGCTCAAGTGCTTGAGATGGGTCAAATGAAACAGTGATACAAGAATGAAGAAGATCCTGTTTGCTCTAATTTAGCAGCTACCATAGGAAGGATCTTTGTTCCCAAAAAATGCGACTGACCTTACTGAGTTTTGTAGCTCAGTGTCTTCCTCTCATTAGACTTTGAAAGAGACCTTTGTGAGTCAAGCACCATTATTACTGAAAATTACTTAAAAAATGTTTATATAAGCCTTTAGGGTGTTTGTACCCATATTAATTCCACTGGTGTGGTTTTCTAAACCTGTGCTGTAGAGGGAAAACCTGTCTTTTACTACTATATGTATGTTTTTTTTTTTATTTTATTTGTACAGATACAGATAAACATTGCTTCATAAAACATGCGACAAATGTAGTGTATATATGGCTTCTAGTCAAAGCTAAATTGCCCGAAACTAACTTAATGTGTTCTAACTAACTAATATGTTCTAACTGTGTCAGTTGACTGGCCTATAATTAGTCCCACATGAATCTGTGCTCACCCTGGCCATTTGTCATGAGGCCACACGTTTTGTCATCTGAACCCTGGTCTCATGACTTCACCCCTTTACACTAAAGGGCAGGGAAAGTTGTCTTCACTGGAAAACCCTACCCTCAGTGGAATGTTACTAGTGCTGTGTATTTGCCACAATACTTGAATTTGATATTCAGTTACATAGCCAGTGCTACTTGCTCTGTCTTGCAGTTCCTTTTGAGAGCTGGCACGGGCCCTGCCGTTGCTGAGTCAAATTTATGCCTGGGATTTGTCCATCGGTTTCACCAGCTTATGATGGCATTCCCTCATCCCTATCAACATCTAAACATAGCACAGCTACAATAGGGCACGGCTTTTGGCAGTCAAGTGTTTGAGCATTCCAGCGGATCTAGGGCAGAGTGCCTCTCTAATACCACCTGTGGTCTTGCTCTATCTCGTCTCACACGAACCCCCTCTCTGTATCCTACTGCAACTAAGAAAAGCTGTTTCCGCTTTCCATGACTGTACAACCTGCAGGCTAATGCAACACATAAATGCCCTCTGGCAGAAGCCTCATGTTTCATAAAGTCTCTCTTCACTAAGTAGACTTGCAAAGGAATTTGCTACGCCATTTGGTACATCCTGGAAGCATGAAATGCATTTTATGGGATGTTTTACTTGTATAGGGAACCCAACATGCCAAAACAGCAATTGCAGTAGGATCTTGTGATACACCCCTCCAATATTCTGGATTTGTTTTGACTCCAGTACTGACTCTGTTAAGTGGACTGGCTGTGATTATGACCGATCTACATTTGATACAGTGCTGTGGCACTGGCTCCGCAAAGAGGGCCTTAGATTAAAAAGCTTTGAAAACCACTTTTCTAGAACAATGGCATTTAAAAAAAAGCACACAGTTGTAAACACAGTGTTAGTACATGGCTGTCGTAACATCAACTATATTTTGATGTTTATGTACTTTTCTACTATAAAACATGAGTGCCTTATGAGAGCACTGGTACTGGACTGGCACTTGTTTTGAGTTCAGATATCAGAATCATTATCAGGAGAGAAGGTTTGATCAGTGCATCCCTAGATTTTGGCTTGAACCATCCTGGAAAGAATTGTATTGATAATCTGATTCAAAAGGGCCTAAAACTAGAGTTTGTTTCGAACCTCGTTTTAACAGAATTCCTGATTTTATATTATCCTATGTTTTTGTTCATCAGTGTTCTCTCACTACAATACCCAGCATGCATTATATAAATACATCATAGGACCATCATGTCCCTGTGCTGTCATCTTATCCTAACTGCTAGTTTAGCCACTGAGCCACTGACTAATAAATACAACCAAGGTAGCAGTAGTGTAACTCTTACCTTGGTCATCAAAGAAAATTGTAAAGAAAGACATTGATTCTGTCTTTATTCAGCACAAAATGGACACCAGTGACGTTTTTTTTTCTTTCATTCTTTTGGCCAGCTAAAAGAATCCAAACTGAGTTAAGGTATCTAAATAGCCAGATAGCTAACATCGGCATTCCGATTGTTGTTCTCATCATCTGACGAGTGGTTTTGTCATTTGAGTAATCTCTCTCTATTGTAATGATGATCTGAGGACAGTTTCTACAGTTGCATTGAGATATTCAGCTTCTTAGCAGTAATGTTAGCTGTTTACCTTCATTTTGCATTTGCAAGCTAGCAAAAAAAGAGACAACTAAACAACCCACCTCAAAAATCAGCCCGAAAGCATTTGTAGTAGTTTCTCCCACCTTCAAGATGCTTAATCAGAAGGGTTTTACCAGTCTTTAAAGGGGGAAATCTCACTCTTACTCGTAAGATGAGAGTAAGTATGTTTACGTATGTTTAAGTATGATGTAGTGATGGTAACATTTTTCATTTTGCCTGAGGTTTTTTTTTTTATCAAATGGTGACAGTCATTCCTGCCAAGCAGCCTCTGCTGGTTTTCTCCTACGTTAGTCAGGCATCCAGGCTTTTCTCTTATTCCAATGCACTGCTTGTCCAGCCTGTCGCACATGGACTTCTGCATCCAGGAGGAGCATAACAATGAGCTGGGCTACGGTCTGCATTCTGTCAGCCTGAGGAAGTCACCTTCAGCGCTCTTTACTGCAAAAACACTGAATGTGATTATTTTGTATTTTAGGTTAACCTTCATTTGAAGAAACTGTTTGTGTAACCCGTTAAAGTAATGGTAATGTAAAAAGGAAGGAGTTGCACCTGTAGAGCTTGTTTTAATATGTGTGTGTGTGTTGTGGCAGACGGTGAACCAGCTAGCACATGCTCTACATCAGGATGAGGATCTGGATGCAGGGCAGCCTGGTGTGTGTAATGTGGCCTAAAGCAAAGTGTGCTCTGCTGCGTGACGACCTGGTGCTGGTAGACAGGTAAGCTGGCAGATCACACACAGCTTTAACGCCCTGCTGTGCGTTATATCCTGACTAATTTGGATCTTGACATCTGTCCTTAGACCTCTATACCAGGTCATGGGAGCTCAAGATGTTTTGTGTATGTTAGATCATATTATTTTTAGGTCTGTTAAATTAAAGTAATTCATCTTATTGTTTTTTTTAGTTAATTGCAGTTAATTTATCTCATTTGCTCAAATTTGATCCTAAATAGAGATTTTATCTAGATAGAGATTTCCCAGTGCATTTGGTTACAGCTATATGAGTGAACAAAGTAAGTTTCATCTTAATGCATTTATTACTTTTATTTTTGCATAGCATTGTTTTCATCATGTGAACACAGGATTCATATGAACCTAAATGTGAAAACAATGTGATGAAACATCACATGAGTGTGAGCGTGAGCAACAGGGTCTACATGTTCTATTTCTTCTGCGATTGTAACCCTCTTGCTTTCAAACCTCTACATTACATGTTGTTGCGAGTGGAACTGGGGCTTTCCACTTCACTACTGCTTTTGTTAGTTTGCTGCTTGTCGATTCATCCTTAGGTCTCCTATGAGTACTGTAGCGTTGTTTGTTGAATTTGATATTGCTGGCATCATTAGTGTTGCATTCAAATGATACGTTAGGCTCAATGTACTTTGGTTATAAACAAAGTCACACCATTGCAGTAGCTGTTAATAACTTTGGCTTTATCATGAGAGCAATCAAGTTTTAAATGGAACATGCCATGTAAAAGCTCTACTTGAATGAAAAGGCTGTAGTTGCAGAGTCAATCATAGCAATATACAGCATGGAAGCACCTGGGCATCAGGGTGGAACTATGGATCGTTTGAAGGGTCAAACTAGGAAAATGTGTTTGTGCCGTTTTAAAAAATTAGGTGCCAAAAATGATTTTTCATGTCAGCGCATAATTATTTTACTTAATATATCTATCAATATCTTAATATCTAAAACACTGTCTTGATAAAATAAAATTGGTGTACCTGCTAAAGGCTTTGCAACACTATTTTTCATATAGTAACCAAATTACACTTAATAGGATGAACACTGTCTGGTCAAAGTGAGTGAGAAAGAAAGAGGGAGAAGGATAAATGTTACTGAACTGTATAAAATGTGTATTATGTGATCCAATTTTTGCAGCCCTGGCATAGATGTCACAACAGAGCTGGACAGCTGGATTGACAAGTTTTGCCTGGATGCTGACGTTTTCGTTCTGGTGGCCAATTCAGAGTCCACCCTGATGCAAACAGTGAGTTAATATCATCACACATTAGCATCCCCACCCCCTCCCCCAGAGGCATTCCTATGCTGACTGTGTGTCGTTTTGCAGTTGGTAGGAATTTAGTGTGTGGGACAGTTGAACCAAATGGCACAAATAGCTCTCCAAGCAGCTTTTTTAGCACGAACATAGGAGTTTTGCAGATGTGGACTATGGCTCAGTCAACACTGGCCTTAACTGAGAGAGCTGTAGTGTATCAGAGGAGCACAGAGAATGTCTGGAATCTTAACACTTACAGGATGGTAGCCGTCCAGCAGATTAGCTGGATTTTGGAACCACTCGTTTAGAATCTAATTGCTTGACTAAGCTCATACAAGAAGCAGAATTAGGCAGGAATTTGTTAGAATAACCTTCAGTGTCTTGATCTTTCTCTCTGTAGGAGAAATCGTTCTTCCACAAGGTGAATGAACGCCTCTCAAGCCCCAATATCTTCATCCTGAATAACCGCTGGGATGCCTCAGCCAGTGAGCCAGAGTATATGGAGGAGGTATGACAGAGCTACACAACAAACAAGACTCACACTCCTGGTCTTATGATCTTTCTATTTAAACAGCATGACAGAACTTAGGTATTCTGCTGGCCAGGCCTCAGCAGTACTATAGCAGTAGAGCACCAGTGTATTTTGACACTACCATAAAAGCAGTGCATTAGACACTTGTGAAAACTTTTCCACAAAAAGTTGTTAAAGTGGTATGAGTATGCCACATATTCTTAAGGACAGATGATGTTCAGCCTGTTAAGGAAGACCTCTGCTTTCAGTGCTTTGTCCCAGGATGGACAGTTGTCATAATAAGATAAGCCTGATAAATATTTATCATACTTAGAAAACAGGTCAGTGGAGTCTTAATTGTAAACACCACCTGGACTCCTGTTTCCTTACTTTATCACACCAACTGATTTATTGCTGTTAGGTAAACATTGCAGTCTCTAAGTCGTTGGGCAGTGATGTTTTTTTGTCTTGCAGCTGTACTACACAATGCATTTAAGATGATATGACTATAAGGTTAAAGTACAGACTATCAGCTTTTATTCCAGAATGCTTACATCTGTATTAGTTGAACCTTTGAAATATGGAGAATATGTGTAACAAAAGCTCTGATTTCTATATGCTTCAACAAATTTAGATACGAGTTCCCTCTCATCAAAGCTGATATTGGGTGCTTCACCCTCAGTCATTGTCATAACCCCCCGATGTTATTTCAGATGGAGTACAGAGACAAAATAGCAAAAATTGCACCACTGTTCAGTTATTGACAGATTTTGCAGTGCTTTGTAAATTGATTGTTTTTATGTATTTTAAAATGTTTTTCGTATGTAATTGCTGAAGATTAGTTCTTTCAAGTAAACTGTTGTAAAATAAATAGTCAACAATACTGAATGTAGAGACATTTGAAAAACATGGAAATTACTTCTGTATCCCTAAAAACTGCTGGAAAAACTAGATGCCTTATTTCTACTGCTCAGTTTATGACCTGAATATGGTAGAGAGCTGTAGAGCTTGGAATATATATTTCTTTTGAATTTTCTATTCAAGGCTGTGTGCGCTTCATGTCCTACATAATATGCTGTTTGAATACCCCTAATCAAGTTACATATTTTGTTGATTTTCTAAGTGTAATCAAGTTGACATATCTACAGGGAACAAACTTAATTTTTTCTTGCAAATTTTAGTGTACACATTCTATTTATTTGCTATTTATTAGTTCATTTGATTTCAACCTTTTGGGAAAAAAAAGCACACAGGCCACATTTTATGTTTTTTTCTCCCCCCCCACACATAACTTTGTTCTTTGTAAAGGACACTTTAGAAATAAAACATGGGCTGCATTAGGCTGAGCATGTGATACTGATACATGTTTCAGGTCAGACGGCAGCACATGGACCGCTGCACCAGTTTCCTTGTGGATGAGCTGGGGGTGGTGGATCGAGGACAGGCCGGTGATCGCATCTTCTTCGTCTCTGCTAAAGAAGTCCTGCAGGCACGAGTGCAGAAGGCTCAGGGCATGCCTGAAGCAGGTAGCAGCACTTTATAACATGGTTTTAAGATTGCCACAATATCTTAAAAATTCCTCTTGGTAAAAAGTAAAGTAGCGCGTGCAGTTAAAGACTGAGAGCAGGTTATTAATCAAAAAAGCACAGATTATGTTCAGCAGTTCTCCTTCTGTCTCTGTGTGGCTCACAGTAAATATTTGTGGAAATATAAGACAGTATTTCCATATTGTTTTTAAAACAAAAGAAGCTCTTGGCCCTTTAAATTTGATGACTGTCTTGTGACAGTCAGTTATTGTGTAAATCAGTTTCATTAATGTCTCCATTCATAGTAAGTGATTTACAGCCGTATTAGACCTAAGCTGCCTTATTCTCAGTAGTGCTTTGTTTTTCCTGTAAAATAGCCTACATGGTTTCAGCATGCCTCAGTCCTCACTCCTCATTGTTTTGTAGGTGGGGCCCTGGCTGAAGGCTTTCAAGCAAGAATGTTTGAGTTTCAGAACTTTGAGAGGCGTTTTGAGGTAAGCTGTTACTGTCATCTGAAGCTCTAAAATAAGATTTTGTGCTTGCATCAAAGAGACAGCAACCACTTTTTTGCTGAGACACATTTTCATTTTGTGTACTTGTAGGAGTGTATCTCTCAGTCAGCCGTGAAGACGAAGTTTGAGCAGCACACTGTGAGGGCCAAGCAGATTTCAGAAACCCTTCGACTGATCATGGACTCTGTGCATGTGGCTGCCCAAGAGCAGAGGTGTGCAGTCAGATAACTCTAGGCTACCAGGAAGTGGTTATGGCCACCATCAAACTGTGTTCCCTTCGGTCACAATCCAGTGCCCTGACCAATAAGTGATTAATGGTGTTTTCCATGCTTTTTGGTGATGCAACCATTCAGGAAAATTGGATTTGATCCTATGAAATGAACTGTTTGAATTATCTGAATTAACAATTTTTATTAACAAATTAAAAACATGCATCCAATTTTGTTGGTTAAAAAAGTAGTTAATTGACTTGGCTAAAACAAATGAACTGAAATGGAACTGACCCTGACCCCACATTCTCACTGTCCTTGCCCCACTTCTAGTGAATAAATGATATATAAATAAACCCTCAGAATATCACATTTCAGTAAAGTTTGCTTGTTACTTGGTACTTGTCTTCACTTGCTTTAAAAATATACATCCAACATCCAAACATTCTGAATATTAACCAGTGAAATGCATAATGCTGCCTCATTGTTATGTTAAGGATACACTGCATGGAAACGAAAGAGGAACGTGAGGACAGGCTGGAGTTCATCGATAAACAGCTGGACCTGCTCACCCTGGACTGTAAGAGCAAAATCAAGAAGATTACAGAGGAAGTGGAGAAACAGGTAACTTAAAGAAACTACAGTATCTCATCTTACTCTATAGAAGAACAGCAGTCTCAGTACAGGAGACTAGTATTGTCTATAATGTCAAATGGAAATAAATCACAGTGGGAGGTTTGGTCAAAACTTCTGCAAACCATCAGTCAGAGATAAAGTGTCTCTTTGTTACTTTTAAGGTTCACTTCCTTTGTCAACTTACACAGTTCTAAACCAGCCCATGGAAAAAAGAGAAAGAGTTACTGTAGGTTTGCGTTAATACAAACTGTCTTTTAGGTGTCAAACGCAATGGCTGAAGAGATTAGAAGACTGCACGTCCTGGTGGATGACTTCCACATAGACTTCCATCCCTCACAAGTGGTTTTGAAGGTGTACAAAAATGTAAGTGCTTTATCTCTATGCTTCATTTCCCTGCTCTGTTATTCTTGTCTATACTTTCTGCTCCTCTGCTTTCACTTTCTTATTCAGTGTTTACTGTTAATGGTCACCCTTGCCAAATGGAAGTCCACAACTTTTCTGGTCACGTTGTTCAGTCCTGTGCTTCTGTGGACAAAGGAGAATTGCAGAACCTTGTCCGATGCAAATGAAATCTGTGTGTGTGATTGCAGGAACTACACAGGCACATAGAAGAGGGCCTGGGCAGGAATATGTCTGAGAGGTGCTCCAATGCCATCACCTCAGCCCTTCAAAACACCCAAACTGAAATGATAGGTCTGTATCGCATTCACATGCAGTAGTTTACAACACATCCTGTATGGCTGGTGAAATGTGGGCCAGCTTGATACATTAACTTTCAAAATCAAGCTGACTTGCAGCTGCATTCACTTATAGCTAGTCTTACATTATCCATTTCAGAGGACTATAAGAAGTTGAAGAAATGGTGCTCAGCTGTCTCTTGGCCAGCTGAACATAATTACATCATTAATTAATGTACATAAAAGCTAACAAAATGTCTAGGGTTAATTGTAAGTATGGCATTTGCATGAGGAGTCTCTTTTTGTTATCTTTTAACATGAAGACCAAAGTGCCAATCTCAGTAAAGCAACTCTTATGCTGTGAGCAAAAAAAGCTGTCTTACAACACTATCATCCCAAAAATGCACTTTAACCACATTATTTCTTTCCTAATCAAATATTCTTGTTAGAGCTAACAACAAAAATTGTTACTGTCCAGTTTACCAGCCTGCAGGTTAAGACTTTTCATGGAACAGTACCATAACCACAGTGCCATGTTAATGAACACTTCTATTTCCCTCTGACACAGATGGTCTGAAGCCCTTGCTGCCCTTATCAGTGAGGGAACAGGTGGATAAGATGGTGCCCAGGCAGTGCTTCAGCCTCAGCTACGATCTCAACTGTGACAAGTTGTGCAGCGACTTCCAGGAAGACATCGGCTTCCACTTCTCGCTGGGCTGGACCATGTTGGTCAACCGCTTCCTTGGACCCAAGAACACTCGCCGGGCCCTCATGGGTTACAACGATCAGGTACTGGCCTTTTCCATACGATGGTGGATTTGAATTAGCACTTACTAAGGCTAGCTTAAGCTTGTGCAAGCAGCTCTGAAATGTGAGACCACAGTATATGTGTTTGTTATCTTGGCATAAGTTCCGTTTCTAAAGAAATACTTTGTTAATCAGTTTCATTTTAAGCCTATTAGTTTAAACCAGAATGCGGGTTCATCGCTGGTGAGCTTGATTTACACAAAAGGCCCCATCATACCACATGCATAGCAGATGCAGTACTAAAGTGTGGCTATACTACATAAAATGTATCCCAATGAGATTGATGTTTATTGGCTCAAGCTCAAGTTCATTTTTACATTCTACTTGTATAAATGTCATGGAATATTACTTTCAACATGATTTAATATTATACCACCCCGGTTGGTATCATTAGCAGTTGTCTGTTTATCTAAAAGACTTTAAAATGACTGCTTTAAGTTTTAAGTAATCTACTATGACTTTTCTTGGTGTGCTTCTGGGTTTCGTTTCACATTGTAATAGTAAAATGTTGAGTGGCATGCTGTGGTGCATAGAGAAATTGAACAGTGCTAGAAGTCGCTGAGCATCAACGCACCTTAATTAAAAGTTTTCTTTGGTGTTTGAAACACATTTTTGACTCAAAATATCAAAAATTAATCAAAACTTAACTTCAAAATCATAAGTCTTATCAAACCAGGATTTCGTCTATGGTGAGAGCCCTTATAGCTTCTAAATCTGCAATGTTTTGTCATTGTTTTGAGATGTTTTGTCAAAGTATGAAGATTTTCGAAATGTGTTTGTTTGTGTGTCTCCACAGGTTCCAAGGCCCATGGCCATCACCCCGGTCAGCACTGCCATGCCTCCTTTCCCTCAGGGCTCCGTGACCCAGGAAGAGCTCATGGTTTCCATGGTGACAGGACTTGCCTCTCTCACCTCTCGAACATCCATGGGCATCATAGTTGTAGGAGGCGTGGTAATTAGCATATACATTTGTCTCAGCATCCACAACAGCTTCAAATAAAACTGGCCTTCATTCTGTAAACAAGTGCTTTAGTTATAGATATGAGCGGGTCAATTTTTGGGTTTTGGGACATGGTCAATGGAAGCTTTGATAATTAAAAGTAGGAACAGTCATGCATATACATGTTTTCTGTCTTGTAATAACATTGATTCTTTCTCTTTCTCAGATATGGAAGGCAGTAGGATGGAGGCTGATTGCTTTGTCTGTGGGGCTCTATGGCCTGCTCTATGTGTACGAGAGGCTCACATGGACCACCAAAGCCAAAGAGCGAGCCTTCAAGAGGCAGTTTGTGGAATATGCTAGCGAGAAGCTGCAGCTCATAGTCAGCTACACTGGCTCCAACTGCAGCCACCAAGTCCAGCAGTAAGTGAGGACAAACAGACCCTATTGTAGTAACTTTCTGTATTTGGAAAGGAAGTTAGTGTCTCGTCTTGTTCCTTCCAGTGTTAAAGTACAACAATGATACTATAAGGGCAGATCAGGAGATGTTCTTTCGCTGTCTCACCCTTTTTTTTTGCCTTCTGATCTTACACTTTACACAAAAATGTATACTGTAGTAATCTGCTAAGTAAGAAGCTTTTTCCAGTATTGTGTTTACATCAGTCAATAAGCAAAACACAGAGTCAAACGCTAGAGGCCAGAATAGTTTTCCCCAGTGGCAATTTTGTTGTTTTATGTGTTATTATTTTGTCACAAATCTAAGCTGTCACAACCAGCCCTTATAATGTTCTGTTCACTAATGTAACATTTTTCAATTTTGTTAATTTTGTGATTGGACATTTTACTGTAGTATGTTTCAGTAAACAACCATTTACAAGCTGTTGTTACACACTAATCATTTTGCATGATTTATTCCAGTTTCATATTTCTTTTATGTTGAAATGATCATTGCATACTTAATCACACTTTTTGACTATTGGGCTAAATATTTTGTCTGATGATAAATGGAGTGTTGTTGCTTGGCAGGATTGAACTATATGCCGTCACTTTCTTTTGTTTCATAAACCAGAGGACAAATCCCTTGTCTGTAATCTCCAGTGAGTTTCCAGCCTCTCAGAGACCTGCCTTAAGGCTGCGTTATGTCCGATATTTTTCAGTAAAGACTCCCTAATCCTCATGCTGTTGCAGTTTTGGCAAGAGAACTGAAGTGTAATCCCCTCACGACAGGTTGTGTATTAGCACTACCAGTGAGTTTGCTAAATCTGCACCTTAATGGAAATGTCATTTTGTCATGCTGTTATTACATAAGCCCACATGTAATAAATAGACACAGATTTGTGGTTTCTCTCTGGCTGATCTGAGTGCTTGCTCACTACCTCCATCCAGTGGATAAAGTTATGCAATGCATTTGAGAGACACAGGCCAGGGATTATTATGTGGCGTGCGTTGAAAGAACTGAAGTCCTGGTTGTGTTTTCAAGAAAGCAAATGTTGTGTATGCTCTGATTAATTTTTGAAATATTTTGTATATTTTTATATGACAAAGTAAAAAATAATGTACACTGTTTGGAGTGACATGCCAAGGCCTCTTATAAAGATCTGTGCCTTTCTGATCTGTGTGTCTCACAGGGAGCTGGCAGGCACCTTTTCACAACTGTGCCAGCAGGTAGATGTGACGCGGCAGCAGCTGGAAGATGAGATTCAGGACATGAATCGCAAGATTGAACAGCTGGACTCTTTACAGAGCAAAGCCAAGCTGCTCAGGTAACAGAAACACTAACTAAATATTTTCTTCCATACACAGAAGTTATCCTGAGTGGAACGGTGTTGTCTGAATTAGTATAAAGCAACTGAGAACAATAGTAGAACAGAAATTTTTAAATGATCTGTAGGCTTGGGCCTATAATAAAGAACTTCAACATTATAGTTTATGACAGTGATTGGCTTGTCCTAACATTTTAATTCTCTGCCATTTGTCAGAGTTGTTTACAGTTGAAGAGTTTTATCCCAAAATGCTCTATATCCATTTGTGACAAATTTGATGATAATGACTTTTAAAGATTTACAGTTGACTTTAATGGAAAACACATTTTTATTTTTCTTATAAAGGTGGTATCAATTATATTATAGCATTGATATTTTTGTATGTGTAAATTCCACTCCTAACAATGTATATCATGGAAAAAAGAAGATTCATACAAGTAGTATATATTGCATTTTGAAACTAAATCCTTCAATTTTAGGTGCTATGTTTGCTTAGGAGTTGAATTAATACTGTGCACCATACAGGGATGTGGGAAAGTGTTGAATTGTCTTTTTTTTTCCCCTATTTTTTTTGATAATGCACATCAGATAGAATGTGTCATAATGTGGTATAACTTGATGAGACAATATGCACATATAACTGACACATCAAACCCACCCTGATTTCTCTGTTCTCCCTCATTCCCACAAAGTCTATGCAAATGAGCAGCGACCAGATTGTTGATAGGTGACATGGAAATGTGGACTAGTATAGAATTTTTAGACCCCTCCTCCTTCTTCAGAACCAGGACCAGGAGCTCACGTACATATTATAACACATAATACTGAACATAATATTACAAATAAAGCATATAATACAGTGGATTCTTCACTAGCTGTTATGAGTGTCAAAAGTCATAATAAAATTTTACATTTTAAAATATTACAATTTTTAGCACCCCCCACTTTTCATATTTCTTGCAACATATGCTATAAGCAGTCTAATCATGCGTCTCTGTTTGTGTTCTACAGGAATAAAGCTGGCTGGCTGGACAGTGAGCTGAACATGTTCACCCAACAGTATCTTCAGCAGGGCCGATAAAGGGTTATATTCTAATTATTGAATTACATGACCAAGACCAACACTAAAAGTGCTAACTAATACATAACATGAATTATTCTGCTATTGTTCTACAAACTATTTAACAAGAACACCTTTTAGCCATGCTTTTATAGGAGAGGACATTATTTGATTATACCAAATCATTTTGCCATCAACTTTCTAAAATGACTGTTTTTTTTGTTCTCTTTTGATGTTTCAAAGTGTGAAACCTGCCTTTGAGGGTACAGTGATGGCGAACTGTACCACATTGAGGAAAGGCGACCTAATAGGTCCTGTTGTTTGTTTTTCTTTTTGTAAAGAGATGCTCACTTTTTGTGTAATTATTTATTCTTTGCATTTGACTTCATGTGAAGTTGTTTTCGTTGTCTTCAGTAATTTCCCCGCTTGCTAAAATAGGTTGGATGTGAGAGGTGGTCATTGAGAATGTAACCTCACCTTCTCTGTGACTGGCAAGATGGTTCCTTGTTGATACTCACAGCCCGGTTATGGGCGATTATATTGTGATGCTACACATGGTAAATGCACTTAACTTTAAGGATGATTAAGAAGTGTAACCAAATAGTTCATGCGAGGACATGCACAAATTACTACTCATCAGAGTTGTGCTGCGTTATCAGTGTGGTTTATTTAAACAGACATGGCTTTTGCGTCTGCATGGTCAGCAGTTGTGCTGGTTTTTGTGGTGAGTTGCACGGACGTATAATATAAATAAGGCATTATGCTGGCGTCTCTACTGTAGCTTCATTTAGGATAGATTCCAAGTCTTTTCTGGTTTGTAATGTCTGGTCAGTGTTTGCAAAGTGGGACTGTAGATCAAGAATGATTCCAGAAAGTAGTCTGATGCTGTCGATTCCAGTTTTAGATATATGTTAAAGGCTCCAGGCAGGAATAGCATACTTTTTGGTTTTGTAACAACATAAGCCTTTGAACAAGAACTGCAGCTACCAAAATGCAACATTATTTGTGTTTACCATGCTCTCTGCCAGTAAGCACAGTTCTGTGCAGTAGCACTCTTTCAGTATTGGGGCTGTGAGTGCACGACATGTAGTTACCAGTAAGTATGAAGGAATTCTGTTTTAAGTAGAAAAATCGAACTTATTCAGAAGGTGTGACTTAGTTCTTCACTTTAATGGACGGCAGAGAAATGAACTGAAGAAAGCAGGGAAATGAACTGAAGAGAGCAGAGAAATAAAATGAAGAGAACATAGAAGTGAACTTAAGAAAACAGAGATTAAACGAAGAAGACAGTACGACCACCCTGTGATGACTGGTGGCAAAGCATTAAATCCCTACTGAATGATAACCATGCATATGTTTACAAAGAACAACTCATTGAATCTTATTTAAGTGGATAAAATCTTAGATAACCAGAATTTTCTCGTCCTACTTCTGCACCACATTGGCTTACACTGCAATTTGATATCATTACTACATGTAGAAGGTATATTCCAAGAGCACTTAGCTCCTAGATTAAATGTCCACGTATGTGTATAATCCACCATCAATCCTTCCTGTCTCAAAGTCGTGTAGTAGCTTGTTGGGTTTGGTTTATGGTTTGTGCCAAGTGTTTAAGGAAGCAATCTGAAGAGCTCTCCACTGATCATGCACTTTACATTTGCTGCTTTTTATTTTTTCTTAAGTTAAATTTTGTACCTTTTGCCTTGTGGTCAGCAGGTAAGCAGAGAAAAGGGTAAACTGATTGACCTGTAGATTCCATGTCGATAGTAATGTATAGATGTGTGCATGCAGTGACTGTTGTAATATGACCTAACCCATACATGTAAAAAATGAAATAAAAATCAATACTGTTGGTTCATTGCATATGTGTTTTTTACTGAAAGTAAGCTCTCACAGTGTGCTCCCAAAATAAGCAGCTTTGAATGCTATTGCAGATGCAAGAATGTCTTTTTTGTGCCCTTTTAAGTATGAAGCTTAAATGCAAAATGTAGCTTTATGTAAATGGAGTAAGTTTTTAAACTCAACAGATGAAAATGAGTGTTTTATACAAAACTCAAGATGCGTCCTTTAAAATTAATATTTCTGATAGTATCAACGCTTGACAGGTACTGCATAATTTAATAAGCTATTTAATTAAGGGGAGCTCATTAAAAGCTGAAGTTGTATATGCTGCTTAATTACAGAGACCTAATTAAAATCTGAAATTGAATGCTGTAACAATATTGAAAGATGCTTTTTACCTTCTAATTAATTAAAAAGGTGAAGTTGATTTATTGTAAAGGTTGCAGGTGTCTGGAGGCCAACTCAGACTTCACTGACCTTCAATCTGGGCAGTGTGGATGAAATTAACTCTAATATTCGTCAATAGTTCTTTCAGTTGCTCATGTGTTCTCTAGTGAAATAAATGTTTTAAGGGTTTAAGTCTATGTGGCTGATGCTGTTGATGGTGGGGGGGGTGCTGCAAAATAACAAAGCTCATTTGAAAGCATCACAAAACCCTGTGCCCCACTTAAGTGAAGTCCCATGGTTCATAAGTAATGTTTCAGTATTCAAACAGTAATTAAGGCCTTAATGAATGAAGTATGACTCCTCTCACTGTTCCCTGACCTAATTTGCATGTTAATTATCATTCGCAGCAAGGGAAAGCACATGCAAAAGCTAAATTAGCAACTCGATCACGTTCAGCTCCAAGTGTCTCTCCACCTGAATCAGAAAAGAAAATTTCCTCTTAGGCAGACATTTGCAGTGGAGGCCTAATCTTAAATTGAACTGAATTCTCCAATGAAACCGTTTTTAGCCAAATATGATAAAAAGGGTACCTCTTTTGTTTCAGGAGATACTAACTATATGAGGGGAAGCACAAAACCATTATGAAATGAAATACCATTAATAAATAATTCGTGTTCTTTGGGGATTTTGTTATGCATTTGGGATAGGCATGCAAAGCACACTTTGAAAAACACTTGTTTCTGTGTATGTTAATATGTAGTACTTGCTTAGTGTCCTTTACGTCCCAATTCTAAGGGAACAATAGTAACTAGCAGTGGCTATGAGTGTCTTCCCTTGTATCCTCATTCAGCTGGTTTGGGCAGAGTGTTGGACATTTTTTCGGTTATGGAAAGTGGAACTCAACAGAGGAAGTTGGAATACAAACAGAAAAACCAAGCCTGCAGGCGTTTCAGGGAAGTATTTTTTGACAAAATACTGGTGTTGAATCCATCTATTCAACATAGAATCTCCTTTTTCTACAACTGCCTTTGGCCACAGCCCTTACACAGTTGCTTTACAGTACAGTGTGTGAAAGGCATACACACTTAGAATTTTTCAAGGGCTCTATTTGGAACCGCGAGTTCTATATAGAACCATATTCCATGCTTAAATTGTTCTTTATATGGTGAAATTGTTCTTCAGATTAATGGAGAATGTGTTATATATGAATATATATATATATTTTTTTTTGAACACCAAAAAAGGTTCTTCTATTGTTACAAGTTGACATAACAACAGAAGAACCCTATAACCTACTCCATCAATCTAAAAAAAAACATTTTACCATGCAAAGAACCATTGAGGCATGAAATGGTTCTATATAGAAGGGTTCTAATTGAGCCATTGCCTTTGCTAAAGGTTTCAGGCCTTTGACAACATTTTTCTTAATTTTTATGTCTATTTCAGAGAACCAGTGATGGTCCAGAGTTTTGATTAGGAGTCAGAAATATTCTTGGAGGAGATTATGCTAGCCATTCTGGCAACAACCTTGCTATCTGCCTTAAACTGGGTTTTTGAAATACTAAAATGTACAGCGATATGGCAAATTTGGTGACTTGAAACATGTCCGTGGAAACAATATTCCATTTTACTATATAAACTACATTAAAATGAAATAAAATTTTCGTCTCAAATTAAGGCGCGAGTCAATCCATCAATTTATCAACCAGTATACTAGTAAATTCAGCTAAACTGAGATATGAAAACTAATCCATTCACATCGAAGAGCTCCGCGGAACTGATGCACGCGAGGAACGGTTGAATTTTCTCCAACCGTCTCTTTACTTCTTCGAAATTTTCATTCTGAGGTATTTTAATTTATATATGTAACGTTACCAACATATAAACAATATTTTAGTTTACTTATGTTGCATAAGGTAACGACCTCGAATGCAGTAAGTATTTATGTAGTAACTAGCTTAAGTACTTTTTCGTTAGTTTCGGTAAGCTAGGTAGTTAGTAGTTAACTAACTTGATAGGGTTAGTAATTTTAGCAAGCTAGCTACCTAACGTAAGTAACGTTAGGTCTGTTCGGTTTTTTCAAATTCAAAACGGAGGTAATGTATTTGTATCTATGTAGGTTACTAGCCTTTATACAAGTTTATTTTGTTGCATAAAGTAACCACTTCGTATTAAAGTGAGTTCGTCCTACGTTCCAGTTAGGCAGCTAGCTAGCAAGTCATTTTACCAAGCTAGTCAGTCGGACAGCTAGCATGGTACTTAATATTTAACCCAAAAACGTTAACAGCAAACGTTTGTTTTTTCAGCTTTTAGGAACCATCACGCATAAAATAAGCTGAACTGTAATGTTTGTTGCAAAAATCAACTGTTCACTAGTGAGTAGCTAAATGAAGTTATTTCAGCTGCTAAATCAGCCATTGAGGGGAATTTCACAGAATTTTCAAAATTTCAGTGAACAAAGTCATTCAGCAGGGTTTGGTATGGAATACAACGTTGTAGAGAAAGTTACTGACTTGAGTTTCTCTTGAATGTCACATTTCACATCAAACCACTTTAAAATGATCTTGTTTACATATTAATTATTTAATTATCTAGAGGTTTCGCAACATCAATGGAATTCCTCTTTAAGAGGTTGAAAATCCACTTTGCATATTAGATAATAACATTTGTTGTTTCTTAGCGAGCACTATCCTCATAAAATGTCCCGCCTTTGCAGGTTTACAACTTGTGGAGTTCGGGGTAGAGGAGAGATGAAGCTACTGATCCAAGAGTTACTGGAATTGCTTTCTTGGAAGGTAGAGCTGCATAAAGTCTGTATGCAATATTAAGTTACATTGTGTGTGTATCTGGTAATGACTGGGTGTGTGCAGTCCACAAATGTTGGGAGGGGAGAGAAAATTAGTTTTCATTAGGAATTGTCAAACTCCACTGATGTGAGGTCAGGCCTGTCCTTTCTTGTCCAAAAACTAACAAGAATGAGAATAAATATTCCCCATCAAATTAACCTTTGAGTAGGTCAGAATACAGTTAGATATAATTCATGCAATTTTCTTTAGCTTTGGCTGTGTCTGGTAGTCTCTTGTGTATCTGGTCATCTCTTTGGCACTGTGGGCCAGTCTGAAATATTCAGGTAGGATATATTATTATTCAGCCTACTGTGTCATGGTAACATTAGAACAATTAAATCAATATAAATCAATTCTGCATTATAACATGACTATATTTTTACTTTTTAAAAAATTTAAAATGGCAGTGGCGAGTGATTATTTTGTATTGAGACATTTGTTCCTGCACTGCTTCAAAATTTATCCCTTGTTCCACAAGATTCAGCAGTGCATATTGAACCTTATGACACTGCTTTTCCTTCTGGGAAATGTGCTTTTGTGTTTGATTCATTTCAATCATTGGTGCATAGATAGGCTATAATTCTGTCCTGAAATGAAAAGTGCTTTTGTTTCATTGCCACGAATCTGGTGCCACCTTGTGGTTTCAGTCGAAATTAACCTCACAGCTTGCTTTCCTCTATAACAGAACAGATTGTTATAAACCTGTTACTGTTATGCCAAAGTGTTTTTGTTGTGGGTTGCAGTTGTTAATTGACTGAGCAGCAATATTGTGAAAAAATTTAGTGTTTTGTTTCTCAGCAAGAAAAAAATGCTTCTTAATGAATAATTAATTCCCACATCAAATTACTTCAGAATTTAAACAACATACTGAAGACTGTTGTGCTATATTTAGAATAGAATACATAATGTATTATCAGGCTTGATCTGCATTTCAGCATCGTTGGAGGACTGAGTTACTTTAAACAAGGATTTCTGAGCATAGAGCTTAAGCACTGACCCTGTCACTCACCACAGCAAAACCTCTTAGATAAGCTTTAAATCAGTTCTTTGCACTGACATGCTGTTGATTGTTTTAAAATACTGCTATTTCACTTTTTTGTAAAGAGACATTCACTTCAGAGATACTTAAAATGTCATCACAGCTTAAAAATTCCACTTCTGAATACAGAATGGTCCCTGTGGTTTGATTTGGCCTATTCACCTTGGCACAAACATACTTTGTGTGTTATTGCAATAGAAATGAGATGAACATAGATGTGAATTTGGGGAAAGCAGGGTGCAAAACCAAAGGGAAGCAGGAGCTATTGCAGTAATCTACAGTGAGTTATCAAAGACTGGGCTTATTTTTGTAAACTGACAATGCCAGCCTGAGCGCTGCTGATGTCATACAGTGTGTGTGTGTGTTGTGTGGGCACGGAGGGACAATATGGTCTTTATGAGCGGTGCTGCGCTCCAAGGCAGAAACATTGTTCAGCAGTAAAACATTCTGAAACCAAAACCACATGTTCCAAAGTGCACAGCACACTTTACGCTGCAGAGCCGTTACTCAAGCGAGGGACTGGAGGCACTCGAGCCATGCCGCACTGGTGTTGGACATTGCACATTTTCATTTATATCTGGAAGCTCAAATGAAGACCAGATTCCGTTTCAGACATGCTGCAGGAAAAAGGAGGAGGGAGAGGCAGAGGGAGGGAAACTGGGTGGTGGGAAGAGATTTCAGGCACAATTGAATGCCCTGCTTTATGCTGACTGTTTTGACAAGCTCACAACTCACTGTTTTGAGCTAGG